ATACTTGAAAACAACTGTTTATTTCTATTGATAGTATTGAAATACTTTGTTAATGTACACAAGAAGGTTGCCAAACAAATCCGACACTCGGTATTTTTAAAAAAAGTGCGACAATCTACACGGCAATGCCGGTTGCTTGCATTCCGAAGGTGATTGCTTTGAGCATTTATAAAGGTAAGCAGCTCCATATTATTAGAATACACACAAATATGACTATAACTCGGAAATAGGGCCAAATAGGACATATGCGTATACGAACTTTTATCATTACTTTTGTCATTGTCTTCTGCCCACCAGTGAAGTGGATGCCACATGTTGGAAATAAGTATAATGCAAACAGATTTAGTTTGTATACGAAAGATTAAATTAAGTATTTTATTGTGTTACTGTGATTCTTATTTTTCGATGGACAATATTGAAGAATGTTATGTTGTATTATATATACATATATATATTGTAATTTATTGTAATACCTGTAATTTTTCTGTTCTTTATTTTTTTACTTAATCATGATTTAAACTAATTTTATTTTACAACAAAACTCATTTTTATACAAAATTTTTGTGAATGTTTTATTATGTTGCTTTTTAGAATTATGTATGTAAAAAAAAACTCTGTTTATAATAATTAGAGGATTATAATGTATTGTATCTATAAGAAAATCGATACAAATCGAAATTTTTCGAATTTTATGCGGATTGTGTTTTAAGTATCGGGATAATTATTTAATTTAGCACATGTCACATCAAAATCTCTTAAATTATGCTCATTTGTTGTATTATATCGGCCTTCAACCAGAGAAAGTGATACATTTGAATTTAAATTCTTTTCAAAGAAAAATGATAAATCAAAGTAGGAATAGTTTTTAACATAATATAACAAAATTAATATCTACATTACTTCTAGAGAACTTGAAACAAACAATTTGTGATTAGCTCTAAGTTTTAATTCTCCATCGATAATTTAAGTCTTTTAAGGGACAGTCGATTTTTTATTGCAAATTTTAAGAGAATCAATAGATGATGACGTTCGGTATCTTGTCTTAAAAACAATTCTATTATGGTAATAAAAACTTGTTATTAAAGATGTCACAAGTATACACGAATCATTTAAGATTTTTATATAATGCAGAACAAAAAAAATTGCTACAGATTTTAAAAACCTATTTTAGGAACTTAGGTTAGAAATTTTACATTGCCAACGGAGGATTAATATTGTTGTAACAAATAATTAATTTTAAAATATGTAATTTTTTTTCTGAACAATTTTATATTTTTGACTTATGTCACTTCTTGAGGAGATGCGATTTGGTGATTATACAGGATGATATTCTTAAGTAAAAAATTGCAGAAGACTTGGCTTATTTTAGGAAGATTCTATGCTTTAAACTGATTTTTTTTTGACAAAAAAATATAAAAATTTTGTAAATCTTTTGGAAAACGTTCAGAGATATTTTATTCAAATTTAGTGTGTTTAGTATTAAAAACTGTTTAAAAAAAATAGTTTTATTAACAAAATTTAATATTCAAATATATGCCCACATGATAAAAATATTAGTACTGAAAAATGGTTAAAACCACATGTATGCATATCAAATTTGAATAAAATCTCTAAGCGTTTTTTCACATTTTCGAAATTTTTATATTTTTTTCAACTTTGACACTGTATATTGAAAATAAAGCAGTTTAAGGCATATGTTTAAGACTCTTCTCTTTCTAAAATAAGTCAAAGAATGTTCTTTTTAATTTTTTTTAACTTATGAATCTATTCTATATAAAATTCCTAAAAATAGAACAAAAAAGGACTTGGTTACTTATGATTTCATTAAATAATTTATTGTTTGAAAAATATGCTTTTAATATTTGATAATTTTGAAAAAATTATAAATTATTTTTAAATAATTAAATTTAAGTAATTAAATAAATAATTTAAATAATAATAATGTAATATATCTCTTTTTTCTTGAACAATACGAAACATTATTTTACAATATTTAAAAAAGTCTGATATAATTTATTGCAATATACAATATATTAAAATATATATATTTTTTCCATGATTTTACATACGTATTCAGACTATGAAATATACCGAAATAAAATTTATTACTTCGAGAGACATAACTTATGTATGTCTATTAAAAAAAATTACACGTGAGATTTATTTGAAAGGACATGCATAAAATATTTATTTTTCACATACCACATATTACATTAGAATATTTTATTCATCTCTAAGAATTGTTTTCTTAAATTATCCTTTTACAAGGGTTAATACCAGTTTAATTTTGCTGGGTTCATGTTTATAATCTAAATGCAAAATAATGATTTTTATATATTTTTAGTATATATAAAAAATTAAATTTATTGAAATTATATTGATTATATCCATTGCTTCTTCTGCTCTATCTTATTTTGGAAGGCGGTGTACCCTAAATAACAGGGGTCGATAAAATAACTGATACAACTTATTTAAAATAACAAATACAAAATAGATTCCAGAAACTTATTTAAAATAAAAGATCGCAGGAGTCAATAAAAAACTGATACGACTTATTTAAAATGAAAAATATAAAATAGATTTCAAAAATATATTTAAAATATTAAATAAGAAATAGATCAGAAGAAATTATTTAGAATAATAAGTTCTAAATAATTCTTTTACTTTTTCTTATTTAAAATACATATTTTAAATAATGCTTTTTTAAATACGACCGATCCCTGATAAGCAGAAGTCGGTAAAGGAACTAATATAATTTATTTAAAATAATAAATATGAAATAGATTTCAAAAACACAACTTATTTAAAATAAAAAATATAAAATAAATTACAAAAACATATTTAAAATATAAAATATAAAGTAGATCAGAAGAAGCTATTTAAAATAATAAATACTAAATAACTCTTTTACTTTTTGTTATTTAAAATACATATTTTAAATAGATCGGAAGAGCAC